TGATAAATTAAAACATGTGTATAAGCTATTTAGGTTCATTTTTCACTCATTCTACATCATTAATTGTTACCCTTAAATTAAACAATCGCCCTCAAACAGCTAACACCATGCACCACATCCAATATTCCTCTAATGTATACCGTCAAAAGTTTCTTGTAAGCCTCCAGCTATAAAAATAATGTTCATTAATACTTCCTCCTAGATAAAATCAATATATCCAACACCTATGTACAGTAAAAGTTTAATATGATTTGGGGGGATACTAATCCTATGGGGGGGATACTTATCCTATGGCCTGTTTTAGTATCCGGATACTTATCCTATGGGGGATACTTATCTTATATGACACCGGTACAGTTTAATATGCACAGGTCCAATCAACGTACCTCAAGTGTGTCTAAATAGTACGTAGGACCAGTTAACCAAGCAGTCAGACAAAGAGATGTCCGTCTTACCATGTGTTATAATATTGTCAATGTAAAGTTACTGTTGCAAAATTTGACAGACTTATTCCCCCTGTCAGAAAATCAAGGCATGGAAATGAGCTCTCTTTCCAAATTCCTTTCTCCAAAACTCTGACTAGAAAAGAAACTTTCTTCCCTTGCACTACATATATATCTGAGTGGAATAAGCTCCCTTTTAATACTGTTTTAAGCCTGATAACAAACTCTTTGCAAAAACAAACTGTCAAAAACTTTCCTCTTCCCATCTTAACCCTCCTCTGACAATAATCTTCTTTAAATTGTTGAAGTTGGTCAGTACCCTGTAGAAGTAGAAGTTCTCATATACCTGTATTTAGCCTTAGTGCACTGGGCGCTTTGATTCATTAAATATTGTAGCCAGTCTGTGACAGACAAAGTGATAGTTGTGGGATGAGTGTAAGACCCTAGTTGTATTTATTTATTGATTGCCAAGCTATTCACATTAACATTGTGTTACAGGTTCGACAGGATTACATGCCCTTGAGCATGGCTACAGAACAGTTCTTATAGAGGACGCAGCTCGAGGGGTCAACCTTGACGACATTAGCAACATGAGGAAAACTCTACAAGAGAAAGGGGCAGTTATTACCAACTCCTGTAAGGTAAGGGGGCAAGGTCATATACAGACACAAGGTCAGAGTTAAAGGCCACATCTGTGTATGTAGTAAAAGAACAATTAGCAAAGAATAAGTTGATATGGTAAGCTGTTGGACTAACATTGTTACCTAAATATTTGATTTCATTATATTATTAAGATTTTCGTTTTGCCACCAAGATTATGATTTTATGCAGTAGTGTATATGGACATGTCTGAATATTTCTTATCACATAAAAATCGTTTTATTGTATTCCACATAACTAAGAAAACACTGCTCAGAGATATGTGTGTCTGTAGGAGGATGAGTAAGGTAGCCGGGGATAAGGGGGTGGACACAGCTCGGAGGTACGTGTGTCTGTAGGAGGATGAGTAAGGTAGCCGGGGATAAGGGGGTGGACACAGCTCGGAGGTACGTGTGTCTGTAGGAGGATGAGTAAGGTAGCCGGGGATAAGGGGGTGGACACAGCTCGGAGGTACGTGTGTCTGTAGGAGGATGAGTAAGGTAGCCGGGGATAAGGGGGTGGACACAGCTCGGAGGTACGTGTGTCTGTAGGAGGATGAGTAAGGTAGCCGGGGATAAGGGGGTGGACACAGCTCGGAGGTACGTGTGTCTGTAGGAGGATGAGTAAGGTAGCCGGGGATAAGGGGGTGGACACAGCTCGGAGGTACGTGTGTCTGTAGGAGGATGAGTAAGGTAGCCGGGGATAAGGGGGTGGACACAGCTCGGAGGTACGTGTGTCTGTAGGAGGATGAGTAAGGTAGCCGGGGATAAGGGGGTGGACACAGCTCGGAGGTACGTGTGTCTGTAGGAGGATGAGTAAGGTAGCCGGGGATAAGGGGGTGGACACAGCTCGGAGGTACGTGTGTCTGTAGGAGGATGAGTAAGGTAGCCGGGGATAAGGGGGTGGACACAGCTCGGAGGTACGTGTGTCTGTAGGAGGATGAGTAAGGTAGCCGGGGATAAGGGGGTGGACACAGCTCGGAGGTACGTGTGTCTGTAGGAGGATGAGTAAGGTAGCCGGGGATAAGGGGGTGGACACAGCTCGGAGGTACGTGTGTCTGTAGGAGGATGAGTAAGGTAGCCGGGGATAAGGGGGTGGACACAGCTCGGAGGTACGTGTGTCTGTAGGAGGATGAGTAAGGTAGCCGGGGATAAGGGGGTGGACACAGCTCGGAGGTACGTGTGTCTGTAGGAGGATGAGTAAGGTAGCCGGGGATAAGGGGGTGGACACAGCTCGGAGGTACGTGTGTCTGTAGGAGGATGAGTAAGGTAGCCGGGGATAAGGGGGTGGACACAGCTCGGAGGTATGTGTGTCTGTTGGAGGATGAGTAAGGTAGCCGGGGATAAGGGGAGGGACACAGCTGGGTGTGTTTAAGTTATTTGGGAGGGAGGAGGAGTGTGTTTATATAGGAGAGATGGGGGAGGGGGGGGGGCGGCTAGATGTGAGTATATGTGAGGGGGTTTGGATCTGGATGTATGTAAAAGGTATGGGAGAGGGGAACTGGATGTTTTATGTGGGAGGGGTTGGGATCTGGGGGTATGTAAAAGAGAAGGTGGGGGGGGGGGGGGGGGGCTGTGCTTATGGGAGGGAGTAGAGAGGGAGAGAGGGTCTGGATTTAAATATCTTGTGATATATTATATTAACTGTTTTTCTATATTTGATGTTTATGATATTAACGGTCATGCTTTGATTGAAATCTAGGTAAAGGATCTGGTTGAAGGTGTCGACAGACAGGTTGCTCTTGGATACCAGACAGCCAAAAATGTTGCACTGGCCCGAAGCATGGTCAAGGAGGGAGTGGTCAAGAAAACAGAATGACAGATCTATTTATATTTGTCCATCATCTTCCATTGTCCGTTTGCCATTGTGTGCAGTTATTATAGTTTTTCACTGATTTTTCAAAAATATTTGTGTTAGACCTGTCTTGCAAGATGATATTGACAAATCAGGAGATTGCTAGCTGATGCAATGTTTCTGGTTTGCATTTAGAATAAGATACATTTAGGGCTTTATAGTCCAAAAATATTGTTCTGAAGTTAGTATGTTTCCTTAACAAGTTTTATCTTTTCATTACTTAGTGATATGTAGGAAAGAAGCCAGTAAGGGTGAGGGTCACCTGTGTTTGACCCCAAACTGGTTAGTTCTGGTGTAGTTTATTGTGTATCTCGGGATATCCTTATATTTACATGGAGAAAAACAAAGATCTGTATATTATTAAGAGTAAACAAATGTCCAAGCATTCCATTTCAAAGGCAATATGTGATATGTATTACAAACTCAAAATGTATTTCAGATATTTTGTTTTGAAATTTTGTCATTTTTGACTTTCCAGAGACATAAGACACCTATCATTATTAATATGGTCTCACCATAACCTTTGTGTCATAGCTAAATTTGTTTTTTTATTTCATAAATTAATTGATTGATTATTGATTCAGATTAACCACAAAAACAATATTTCAAGAATAACTGCTGCAGGGGAGATAACTCTGTAACTTTAAACAGCTGTATTATAAAATTACTGCAACAGGGGAGACAACTCTGTGAATCACTTCAGACTAATGTATCTTATGAAATATTACATCACATGTATATATTTTAAAATTGCAGCCACTGTTTGAGCTTTGTCTGAATTCAATGTTGAAGATGATCTAAGACTCTTGTTTCTGTTGAGAGTAGTACGTTTAATGAGGGTGTAATAACTTCTACAAAAAAATAATGAGATCTTTGTATGGTAAGAAATTCTAGGATTCTGGCTATTATAGAGATCTTTGTATGGTAAGAAATTCTAGGATTCTGGCTATTAAACATTTACAGTTCCTCATGGTTGTGTTCTTTTGCAAGATACTGTTTTAAACACCAGCACCTGGCACTAAAGCTTAATGTCCATTGTGATTTCAGTCAATATGTTACGATGTAATATTGTGTATATTCTGTTAGTGATCTGTAACACTATAACTGTCCGTCTTACTAAGTGGCATTACTAGACACTGTGATAACTGATGTACATGTATAAAGCGTCTTCTGTACTACACTCTCTAGGGAATAACATGGCAATGTATTTATAAAAATGTGTATAAAAGGTCTATAGGTTTGTTGAGGAACTTCATTGGTACATTATATAAGTTTGTTGAGGAACCTCATTGGTACGTTACTGTATTTTTCTACCAAACATCCTATACCAATGTACCATCATACACTTTGAAGTAAATAAACCACACACACAAGCAAAATATCAAAATCTTCAACTTAGTTCTTATAAGTTATATCAGTTATTCAATAATTGTCCAATCTTCCTTATCAAGTATGACCTGTAAAATAAGAAACATCATGACAGTTTATGATAGTTACTTAAAATGTAACAAGTCGATATTTGATCTCTTTGTATATCTACAATGTATATTAATTCCAAACAAAATTCAACATTGTACATTTTGTATTAGAAAATAATTTAAAAAAATATTTCCTTCATCTATATTTGTTAAATAAAACATATTTTTATAGCCATGGGTAGGAATTATAAGGTTCCTAATATAGGTATAGGAAAGAGGGTTGCAGCTCTGTGAACAGTTACCTCCCTTCACTTTGGAAAACACTTTGGGCCTGTTCGTTTATGCGGAACAACTGGTTTGACCATTTATAAATGTAACAATTTCGGGTTTAAATCCTGGCGGACCTGCAAATGTTTATGCAGGTCTTGCAAGGCTCGTCTGAAAGCAGCATCAGATAACTAGGTCCGACCTTATTTAATAAATGAACAACTGGTCTGACCGGTTCAACCGTTTACATGAAAACGGCGTATATATTTTTCTATTTAGGAACTGTCGAGTACTGGTTGTGATAATATGCTGTATAATTATATATCTATACATTGTATACTAGCATTATATATAGAGGTCTATTAGTGATGTAGGTTGGGTAAGGACTGGCATCAAGATGATATGCCATCCTAGGGAAATTCAGTCAAAATAGCTAAGTCAGAATTGATATCACTATCTTGGAGACAGAGTATTGTCTTTGAGATCAAATTTTAATGAACGCTCTCAAAATCAAATGTTTTACTTTGTCCTTCATATTATCATTAGCCAAATAGAACAGATTAAAAATAGTTAATTCATTGTAGGTTACTGAAAGTAGTGCTAGCGTATGTAATAACTAGTATGGAATATATCATAACACCAAGCGTCGATGTTCTATAAGTCCCATACATTACTGGAGTGTACACAATCTTCAAATCTAAAACTAGTTGTCATTTTTTATATTACTGAAATGTTGGCAAAAGAAAAAGCGATCTGGCTTTTTATTTTTCTAATATATTTTATTTGAAAATAACCATACCATATTTTGTCAATTAAAACATTCTATAACTTTGAAAAGTCTCCTAATGGAAACATAAAATTTCATAGAATGTTACTCATTAAAAATTCTGTTATGTATGATGAACGTACAGATTACCAAGAGTAATAATGTCACTGCATATGTATCTTATCAACTGTTAGAATTCTCCGGAGTTTTCACTAATGGTATAAAACACCGACCTGTTTGGGATATGTCTCCGGAGTTTTCAATAATGTTATAAACACCGACCTGTTTGGGATATGTCTCCGGAGTTTTCACTAATGTTATAAAACACTTACCTGTTTGGGATAATATATGTCTCCGGAGTTTCACTAATGTTATAAAACACATACCTGTTTGGGATATGTCTCCGAAGTTTTCACTAATGTTATAAAACATCGACCTGTTTGGGATATGTCTCCGGAGTTTTCACTAATGTTATAAAACACAGACCTGTTTGGGATATGTCTCCGGAGTTTTCACTAATGTTATAAAACACATACCTGTTTGGGATATGTCTCCGGAGTTTTCACTAATGTTATAAAACACTTACCTGTTTGGGATATGTCTCCGGAGTTTCACTAATGTTATAAAACACTGACCTGTTTGGGATATGTCTCCGGAGTTTTCACTAATGTTATAAAACACCGACCTGTTTGGTATGACCTTTGGTGTTCCACAGTGCAGTTTATAATATGCTAGTAGCATGCTAGTTAAAGAGAAACTTAAGGAAAAGATTGCAAAAAAAAATGGATGGACAACTAAAATTAATGATTATCTGTGCTCTGTTATCTAAGTAGCTTGTATGGTTTTACTTCAATGTATTTTTGATTTTTTTTTTATGTATGTTAACTTTTTGCCAACATCGCAATTTGATTAAATGGTAAATCAACTGATATTTCTAACCCCAGGTAATCTTAGCTAGATGCACTACTGAAATATTTCTCACATGAGAAAGTGACATTTCTATAGTAGGAGGGATGTGTAGTTGCCATCACTGATATTTTATGATTGATACACTGTTTATAAACTCACATTAGTGTTCTCCCTGGGCTTCTTTAGAAACGCTAATTACCATGTAACTGTTGTATATAATCAGTAGATATACTAATTAAATTAAACTCAAATTCATGACCCATTCGTATAGGTTCTGGGGAGAACACTGTCACTTACCTCAATTTGTAGATATATATTGGTTTTTTAAAATAATTTTTCTCTCCCTTTTTTCCTCCTTTATGTAAATAATAATTTCTGAGTATGCAATATAAGTTTTATGTTGAATCATTATTCAGTAATAATAAAAAATGTTTGTGTTATTTGTTTGCTTTATTTTGTTTTTATACAATAAACATCCTGTTAACCTCAGTACATTCTATATTGGAAAAGTCACCCCTGATACTACATCAGCAAACGTCGAGACACCCTGACACTACTAGGGATCACCAACTACCCACCCTGACACCACTAGGGATCACCAACAACCCCCCCTGACACCACTAGGTACACCAATTACCCACCCTGACAATACTAGGTACACCAACTAACCACCCTGACACCTCTAGGGATCACCAACTACCCACCCTGACACCACTAGGGATCATCAACTAGTACATTCTATATTGGAAAAGTCACCCCTGATACTACATCAGCAAACGTCGAGACACCCTGACACTACTAGGGATCACCAACTCCCCCCCCTGACCCCACTAGGTACACCAACTACCCTCCCTGACACCACTAGGTACACCAACTACCCCCCCTGACACCACTAGGGATCACCAACTACACACCCTGACACCACAAGGGATCGCTAACTACCCACCCTGACACCACTAGGGATCACCAACACCCCCCCCTGACACCACTAGGTACACCAACTACCCCCCCTGACACCCCTAGGTACACCAACTACCCACCCTGACACTACTAGGGACACCAACTAACCACCCTGACACCACTAGGGATCACCAACTACACACCCTGACACCACTAGGGATCGCTAACTACCCACCCTGACACCACTAGGGATCATCAACTAGTACATTCTATATTGGAAAAGTCACCCCTGATACTACATCAGCAAACGTCGAGACACCCTGACACTACTAGGGATCACCAACTACACACCCTGACACCACTAGGGATCACCAACAACCCACCCTGACACCACAAGGTACACCAACTACCCACCCTGACACCACGAGGTACACCAACTACCCACCCTGACACTACTAGGGACCACCAACTACCCACCCTGACACCACTAGGGACAACCAACTACCCACCCTGACACTACTAGGGATCACCAACTCCCCCCCCTGACCCCACTAGGTACACCAACTACCCACCCTGACACCACTAGGTACACCAATTACCCACCCTGACACTACTAGGTACACCAACTAACCACCCTGACACCACTAGATACACCAACAACACACCTTGACACTACTAGGGATCACCAACTACCCACCCTGACACCACTAGATACACCAACTACCCACCCTGACACCACTAGGGATCACCAACTACCCACCCTGACACCACTAGGTACACCAACTATCCACCCTGACACCACTAGGTACACCAACTAACCACCCTGACACCACTAGGGATCACCAACTACCCACCCTGACACCACTAGGGATCATCAACTACCCACCCTGACATCACTAGGGATCACCAACTACCCACCTGACACCACTAGGGATCACCAACTATCCACCCTGACACCACTAGGGATCACCAACTATCCACCCTGACACCACTATGGATCACCAACTACCCACCCTGACCCCACTAGGGATCACCAACTACCCACCCTGGCACCACTAGGTACACCAACTACCCACCCTGACACCACTAGGGATCACCAACTACACACCCTGACACCACTGGGGATCACCAACTACCCACCCTGACACAACTAGGGATCATCAACTACCCACCCTGACACCACTAGGTACACCAACTAACCACCCTGACACCACTAGGGATCACCAACTACCCCCCCTGACACCACTAGGGATCACCAACTACCCACCCCGACACCACTAGGGATCACCAACTACCCACCCTGACCCCACTAGGGATCACCAACTACCCACCCTGGCACCACTAGGTACACCAACTACCCACCCTGACACCACTAGGGATCCCCAACTACCCACCCTGACACCACTAGGGATCACCAACTACCCCCCCTGACACCACTAGGGATCACCAACTACCCACCCCGACACCACTAGGGATCACCAACTACCCACCCTGACAACACTAGGGATCACCAACTACCCACCTTGACACCACTAGGTACACCAACTAACCACCATGACACCACTAGGGATCACCAACTACCCACCCTCACACCACTAGGGATCACCAACTACACACCCTGACCCCACTGGGGATCACCAACTACCCACCCTGACACCACTAGGTACACCAACTACCCGCCCTGACACCACTAGGGATCACCAACTACCCACCCCGACACCACTAGGGATCACCAACTACCCACCCTGACGCCACTAGGTACACCAACTATCCACCCTGACACCACTAGGTACACCAACTAACCGCCCTGACACCACTAGGGATCACCAACTACCCACCATGACACCACTAGGGATCACCAACTACACACCCTGACACCACTAGATACACCAAATACCCTCCCTGACACCACTAGGGATCACCAACTACCCACCCTGACACCACTAGGGATCACCAGCTTACCACCCTGACACCACTAGGGATCACCAACTACCCACCCTGACACCACTAGGGATCACCAACTACCCACCCCGACACCACTAGGGATCACCAACTACCCCCCCTGACACCCCTAGGGATCACCAACTACCCACCCTGACAACACTAGGGATCACCAACTACCCACCCTGACAACACTAGGGATCACCAACTACCCACCCTGACACCACTAGGTACACCAAATACCCTCCCTGACACCACTATGGATCACCAACTACACACCCTGACACCACTAGGGATCGCTAACTACCCACCCTGACACCACTAGGAATCACCAACAACGCACCCTGACACCACTAGGGATCACCAACTACACACCCCGACACCACTAGGGATCACCAACTACATTATGTGTATATTTTGCTTCATAACAAGAGGTAGACCTAGGTTGGTGCCGCAATTGGCTTTCGTCATTTACCCGGGACATGGAATAACAAATCATTGAAATACATCCCCGACCCAACATCCTTCGAGTCTTCCACAGAAAGCATATATTTTGAGTCCACCCATCTTTTCTGTCTATAACT